TGTTCGAGCTTTTCATTTTTCTATGACAATTCAGTGAATCAGCTGTGAGTCTGCTAACTCTCGTGTAGTTTCTTAGTTCAAATAATTACACTATGATTTTTCGACATGTCAGTGATACACTATCATACACTAAAAATTTGGAATATGTTAACACATTGTCTGATCACGAGTTAATTAACTGGTCGTGTTTTCATTCGCAAATGTTCAAAAATTTATCAATCTACAATATATGAAGATTTTTTTAAAAAATGTGACAAGTCCTTCAAATCATTCTTAAATGTTTCATTTTTTTATGCTATTGAAATTTTTACTAACTATGTTTAAAGATCGAAGTTATGATATTCTTGTTTCTCAGGAGAATCTATCGAGGAAGCTTGTTTCGTCTAAAAGCGAATTTTTAAGCAGAAGCAGACTTATTGCATGCTTGAACATTTTACTTGTGAATTTTCCTCGTATATATTCATCGCAATTGGATCGATAGTATAATTTTTAATTCTACAAGGCTTTAATTAATTTAAGTTTCAAAAATTTTCTTGTATGTTAGAGACGCAGTAACACAAATTTAAAGCAAAAGAAAAAACGCCAAAAAAAAAGAAATTAAAAATCACAAAATTTTATTAAACGAAGACTTTTTACGATCTCCAACAATCTCTGACAATCCTCCACGCTGACAATGAGAAAGTCTGTCAATCCCAAACGGATCATCGTCCTCTAATCTGGATCATAAGACACTGGATCTAATCTGGATCGTAGAAAACAATTGGATTTCGAATCGTGGCTTTCGCAGTCGCTAGAGCGAGATGACATACACGATCGAAGAAACAGAGGCAATTCCAGAATCGCATGAACGAATGGCCCCCAACACGTCGATCGGACGCAATAAAGCGAAAAGTGATAAATTTTATCCCGGGCTGGCGGCTGGTAATTGCCAATAAATGACATGCAGATACGATTAGATACCATAAACGTTTCAACGATCGTAGATAAATAATTTATAAGCAACATAACTGCGTCATATCGCGAGAACACGGATAGGTGTGGCACGATACAGAAAAAGCAAAAAGAGAAC